CGGCACCTAAGAGAATGTTGCCAAATGGTAAATATTTTTAAATTGCATATTGTATTAGGGACATATTGCGACTTTCTGGATAAAATACGTGAATTCAGTCAACCTGCTTTCCCTACTATGGATCCAACAAACAAAATGTTTTTACTATAGAACCAATAAAGAAACAGACAATGCCAAACAATGACGCAGCCTGCGAGAAAGAACAAATCAGACACACACTTCCGGTCAGAGGTCGTAAGTACTTTTTTGTAATAAATACGGCATTCAAATGTTGGACAACTTCTAAATTAATAAATACGGCATTCAAATGTTGGACAACTTCTTCTAAATTAATAAATACGGCATTCAAATGTTGGACAACTTCTTCTAAATTGCTTACTGGAGACATTGAGATACAGGGATAGGCCAAAAATGTTAGCCTTATTAAAATTAAAAAAATATTTATTTATACACTTTATACAAAAACATGTAAAGGTGAACTTAATGCCTTGCCCTAAGCATTGTCTAACAGTCGACCTTTGGGTGATTGAGAATTTAATCAAAAAATTTATAATTTTTCAGCACCTCTCTATTATAGAAGCTTCAAACCACAGTTGGAAGATATTCAAAGCTCAAATTTACTTGTAAACAAAAAAATCCAGGATAAAAAAACGTGTCATAAGACTGGTATACAAAAAATGAGTTTTATTTAGTAAATGGGCAATGTGCAGAGTGACCCAACCTATATTTCAATATAATATTTTAATTCATGACCAAGTCCACCTAAACCTTTCGCGTATACATTCCTAGGAATGTAGCGCCTTCCCTTATTTCAAGATAATATATATCCCATTAAATAGTTGTGTGTGATTTGATTATACATTTGAATGTGGTCAATGGTCAGTACATATATGTAATTGCCCATTTTACCTAATCCTGATTTCTATAAAATTTCCGTTTGTAATGTATTTCTGTTATTTTAGTAAAAACTGGGATTGGTCTGCATTCCTATTCCTTTGCAAGAGTGACTGATTATTGATTTATACATACCTACATAAAGGATGTCTGTAGTTAAAGGAATCCAGTCCAATTTCATTAAAGGTAATTCTTATTGGAAGAGATTATTCATATGAGAACTGTTTTACAGCAACTTTGTGAGCTTGAAGTAATTCAAAGGGCTGTGTTTTGTTTTAGAAAAAATAAAGGAAAATAAACCATCAGAACGTTCATTTAATGAGGAACTGAGAAAACAGCAACTAAATGAAGCTAAAAAGAAATTTCAAAGTAAAAGGTTTTTTATAGACTCAAGTAAGTAACAATGATACATGTAATATCATAAGCAATTTGCTTTTTTTTTTATTTGCAATAGGATCACAGGGTCTTGGTATTCCCTGATAATATAGGAAACTGAAGAATTTCACTCTTTAGTTCTGTTAAAAAAAAACAATCATTTTGCACCATAAAGGTGATGTTTTACTGATCAAGTAAAACATCACCGCTTTATACTAATAGCCTTGCAACTTTGCACCTGCGCCACTTTGAAGTCAGGTCTTCACAAATACATCCATTACAATCATTACATGACATAAACAATTTGGTTTTTTCTTTCAGAATATGACAAGATTGAAGGGCTCAATTGGATCTCATGGAAATAATATACAACTTAAATTATAAACAATATTTATTTTATAAATTTATAGTGATAGTATACACTCCAGCAATGTGTCTAACGTTAAAGTTTACGAGCATAATGTATCAATTAAAAAAAATTGAAAAACCATGCTGTTTTACTTAGAGCTGGAGCCTGGACCCTTGTTATCCTTATCTTTTTGATCCTTGTCATCTTTCTCATCCTTGTCTTTCTTTATTGTTGACATCGCATTCCTAATAGCTTCACTTTGGGGGTCAACGCCAGGAAGATTTTCCAGTACACTCTGTAGGAATGCAGGGTCATTCATTACCTCAGCATATTCCTCGGCCACATCCATGCTTTCCTCTGCTGGAGGTGCCTCCTGTTGCATGCTCATCTGCATTGCAAGAGCAATCTGCTCCTCTTCAGACAGCTCCATAGCTTCATGGCCTAGTGACATAGCTAATGCTCTTTCCATACCAGTGTTTTGAGGTTCTGCAGTCTTGCCTGCCTCTCCTCCTTCGGTGGTAGTTTGCTGGCGACGTGACTCTTCCTCCTGGCGTTGTCTTTGCTCTTCCATAGATACACGCAAAGCTAGTGCAAGCTCTGGGTCTTCATTTGGATCAACACCAAATTCGAATGGAGACAAGCCTGAACCAGATGGACCTGCTCCATCACCCCCAATCAATGGGCTGGAAATCAAAGCTTCAGACAGAACCACACAGCCTCCAGCTGGAACAGATACAAGGTGACTGCCTCCTGTAGCGCTATCCTTGCCATTGAGAGTGTTAACAAATGTCGTCAGCAGCGGATTGTTGTCTGCATCTTCCCCGAATGATACGACGTCACAGTTTACCTTCTCTTTCTTCAACCTCTTGGCAAGTTTGACTAATTCCTTCTCGTCGGTTTCGACCGGCGAGCCGACAAAAACAACGATGCGCATCTTGTGGTTTTTGCCCTGGCGATGCTTCAGTGCCAAGTGAGCAATTCTGATACCAGTCAGAAGATTGATATTACCGTTGGGCTGGACACGGTGCAGCTTCGACATGATGCGGCCCACATCACTGGTTAATGTAGCTAATACCTCAACATTGGCTAACGTCAATAAACCCACATTATTTTCAGGATTTGATCGTGTTTTAGAATGACATACCAGATTTACAGCATCTTGCTGTGCCTGCAGTCTTGTTGGAAGGAAGTCTCCATTTCTCATATAATCACTGTTATCCACACAAATCATAGTACTTTCCAAGACCATTTTGCTTGATTATTCAGCGACTATTTTGAAATAAACAAATTGAGAACACCTCACAAAGAATGAAATTTGCTGTATAATCATAGACTACGAAATTTGAAACATAGAGCAAAGTGCACAGATGTCAAAGATTATCATAGAATATGATTACTTATATCACAGATATTTAATATATTTTTGTTACCATTTTTCGATTTATTTAGCTTTAATTTGAAATACATATTTTGTAAGTGTTTTGAAATACATATGTGTAAGCGAATATCAATCAAAAAGGGTACTGCCAATCATGATGTTAATGAACATTCAAATAAGATGATACTAACGATGAGTCAGTCCAAGGCAGTTTACGACAAACAAACAAAAGGATATAGCATTTGGTAAGTATTAACTAAAAATTAAGTTGAATCGTATTTTCACACAAATGAAGGGACGGGCTGTGGAAACATTATGATAAAAAGTATTCAGTAAAATGTTAGAGTGAATAAAATGGCACAAATTGTCTATGTTACCACTTGACAGTTTGATGACAGATTGACTGAACACCGAAATCCGAGGTCAATTTCGTTCGATAAATTTCTGTAAAAGCGCAGGAATCATGGGTTTCGGTGATTATCCTAAGGAATATAACCCTGCAGTCCACGGGCCCTATGACCCTGCCCGTTATTATGGCAAACGTAAGTAATGGATAGCGGTTGTAGTAAATAATGTCGCCCTTCAAGTTTACCATTTTTGATTATGTAATTTTCAATTTTGGTTTTAGCTGATACCCCATTCGGACAGGTGAAAATCAATGAGCTCGGTTCTTGGTTGGCTCGCAGGAATAAGTCGCCCCAAGCCATCGCTGGAGCTTTCAGCCGAGGTAATCAATTACTTAATTACATATTTTTTGTATAAGTTTGAGGTTAGGATTGTATATGAAATGTAGGTACCTACTCTCATTTACGGAAAATAATTATCCTTAAGATATACTTCATTGTAAAATACAATGTTTGTACAGGAATTGCTATTGCTTGGTCACAAGGTTAAGTGAAAATCCCTTGAATGATGATAATATTTAAACATAATTTATGGTTTTAGCTTGGTGGAGGTGGCAACACAAGTATGTGCAGCCCAAGAAGGTGGGCATTGCTCCATTCTTCCAGCTGTTAGTTGGCAGCATGACATTCTTCTATGCCATCAACTATGGAAAAATGAGTAAGAAATGTTTCTTTAAAACTTTTATATTATATTTATTTTTAAACTACATGGATTTAAGTGAGACACAATATATTTTCTATTGTCTCTAATATCGGCAGACAAGAGTTTAAAGGATGTTTGGCAAAAAATGGATCTTAACAATTGTTTGATCTCTTAATAGAGCTAACACTACATAACTACTACTACTATGATATTCAAAAGCATAATTAAACCATTGAATGTTGGTATATGAGACACAATAGAAAATACATTGCCTTGTGTGAATTCGCCTCTAAAACAGATAAAAGGTTGAACATGAGGTGCAAAATTGTTGGCATTAATATTAAATGCATTAATTGATTAGTGCTGCCAATCAATAAACACTAATTGAGTTTTTGTTACTCTAGCTGTAGAGATGTTTACATTATTCTTGTTTTATTTTTCAGAGCACCACAGGAACTACAAATACCACTAATCTGGAACTTATGCCATCAACCTGCATGTTATTTATGTATTCAAATTATCATGTGAATCTGTATGTACTAGATCAAGCATACTTGCAATAAAGTTATTAGCCTGAACTAACTTTTATATTGTTTTCTTTTTGCCTGCAAATGATACCTTTAAAGATAAGATTTAATACTGAATTATAGATTGCTGTCTACCACTTAGGCAAGTTGTGATGCTATTTCCATTTTTTATAATTAAATGCATTTTAGGGTATGGATTTGGAGTACCCTTGTAAGGAGTATAGAAATAAACCTGTGACCACGGAATAGAAATTTTCTGTTCTGTGCCTGTGACTATGATGTCAGACCAGGAATGAATTTAAATAAAAACTTAGCAAAGAGGTTTCTCTACTGAATCTATTACCTACTAATATAAATAAAATAAAAATGTACAATTTGATAAAAATATTTTTAATTACTTAATAGCAATATAATAATTTATTCAACACATGCATTCTCCACACACACTTGCATACAGTTTGACAAATGCAAATATTCAGTTGATCACGAGAAATGCCACTGGCTGGCAGCACGGGGCTTGATACTGAGATGTTGTATCACATGAAGTGTCCCATGAATTATTCTGTAACAAGAAAACAAAATAATTCTTAGTTTAATAAAAATAGTAATTAAAATAATTTTCATTCAATTACATCAAAAGTATTTTGGGAAATTATTATGATTAAATTAGGCTTAGTTGTCATTCAGTGAAGTTTGTTTATTCCAATGACGATTTTGGGGAAGAACACAATGTTTCATTGAAATATCAGATGAAAAACAAAGAATAGCAGTATGGATGAAACAGTCACATAAAAAGCATTTTGAGGAGTAAGTAACTTATTCAGTAAAGTTTTTAGTTTATGATGACAGATAAAAACTGCAGATGAATAAAATTCTGTACTTGCTAAGTAAAAAATATTCTGATTACATTATTATTTAGCTATTATGCACTAACTCAATATTACACAATTCAAAACAAACAGTAACTAAATAACATATTGTGAAACATGCCCTTAGAATCTTTACTCAATGTAGACCAGCAGGTAGTTTGAAAAGTATTTAAAAAAAAATCATATCTTTCATTCCAATAGTGATCTACTATAGGCACTTGACTGTGAGTACCTATCAAAGACAAAATCCTTTCATTTATTTACAAAGACAAAAGTGATGACTGTTATTAAAGAGGCTTCATTTAAAATTTAGTTAAACAACACAGATAATCAAAATGAGCACAGTATTACAGTAGATTTAATAAAACTGTATGTAAGGTTGATGACCCAAATTATCATTGCCAGTATCAAAAAGAACACATCCTGGAGAAAAATACTGTTTTATCATGAAAGTATGGTTTTCAGTTTAATTGCATTTTGTTATTACTAATTAGATAAGCTGAGTGTTGATTATACACGGCTTAAAATTGAACACTAATGTATACAATGAATAGTTGTAAAATGTAACCTTACCTAAATTAAAATTGAGCTATTTTACAATTCTGTCTTGCCCATGTATTTGGGCTTTAGCTCTTCTATTCTCTTGATGAAGTCTGTTTTCTCGATGCAACCGTCGCAGATTTCATCCCAGTCGTTGAGAATCTTCTTCAAATCGCGAACTTTAAGTTTCTTTAGGTCAACGTTGTTTAGGTCGATTTGTTTGTCGAATCTGAGGTCACAGATCTGAGCATCCTTCTTCTTCAGTTTCTCGCAAATTTTGTCTGCGGGCATTGACCAACTCAGCGGCTTTGAGAGCTCTCCCAGGATGCCGGTGGCAGATTCTTCGAGACCTCCTAAATAGTAACAAAACCTGTTTTCTTTATTCTTACTTCCTTTACAAAACTTCTTAAACTCAGTCTCGATAAGTTTAGGATTCTTTTTAACATCATCTGTTAACGTGGCCGCGAATTTATCCACAGTTTTGATGCAAACTTCACATTCGCCTTCCTTCAACGCGATTGTAACTTGGACGATGGTAGCCAAGAATAGTAAATGAAACACACTGAGCTTGCACATTTTCAATTGTTAATTTTTAAAAGCTAGGCTAAAATTAACACCAGCTGCTACGTGCACCGTAACTTGCAACAGAATAAAATAGAAATAGTACGAAATTAAGGTGATAGAAGAATCTCGTCCATTCATGGAATTGAAAACGTTGACAGCTTTACTTGGCGACCTGTGATTGGTGCACGTTGTTGGCACTTGGCATTTTGGAGATGGACACGTGTTAGGAATCGATTTTATAGTATTAGAAGGCCAAAGTTTTAGTCGAATAGCTTATGATAATTCTCTGCCAAAGGTGGAACAATAATTTTACGTAAGAGGAACATTTAACCTTGTAATAGTACCAGATTTCCGATGTTATTTAAAGCTCGTTGTTTAGTTTTTATACTGAAAAAGAGTAGTAAAATTTAGACTTGCTGACAGCCAACACAAAAATATTGTATGAAAACCGGGATATGAGAAAGTAAGAAAATAAAAATGGTTCTTATACCATTTTTTATGAATTTAGTCGATGTTAAAATCTTACTGGTCAGCTGTTTTTATTTTGACATTCATACAGTACACGTCAAAGTTACCAGCTCCCGCTGTCATCCGATCTTCATTAAGTCCAGTCGTCATGGAAACGGACTTTGTTTATCAATATTGGAATATTTTGTTTTGTCGATATTATTTATTAAGCGTGGATTACTAATCACTAATTAAAAAAATGGTTGAAACTAAGGTTACTCTGACAGATAATCCACGTGCTGCGTTGGAGACTCATATCACCGCACTACAAAGCGAGTCAAAAATGACTCGAAAGCAGGCTCTTTTGAAAATAAACGAAGAAATATTTGAAAACCCTACAAGCAAGAACTATGATCTTACTGTCGTCTTTCCAGAAGTGTATGCTTACGTCCTGAAAAGCTTCTCGGATCCTTCCGAGGCATGTCGGGAAACTTCAGCATTGATTATCTCTAACTTCATTGATAAGCTACCTCTGAACGATTACTACTTGACATATATTCTACCGGTAATTGTTCGTCGTATTGGGTGCCCTGAGATTATCGAGGAATCTGAGGAAATCCGTTTGGTACTGATTAAGTTAGTGCGAAACATTTTAGAAAAATACAAAGTGTCGCAACTGCTTAGTCCATTCATTAACGACTTTACTAGCATCCTTACTAAGACTGTAACAGATCCGTTTCATTTGGTGAAGCTCGAGGCTAGCGAATGTATAATTATGGTGACAAGAATCCTACAGAGGGACTTCCACTTTCAATCGGAGAGCTATGTGAAGCCAATCTTGTCTAACTTTGGTCATCGTCACTTTAGAGTTCGGGTGGCAGCCATCAAAGCTATTGGTAAAGAACATAATATTCTATTGTGTTGTAAAAAATCATAAATACATTAAAATGTGAAAGTTCTACAATGAGAAAAGATAAGACCACCTTGGGCTCTATTAATATTAGTTTCTGACTGAACTTTTCAAAGTACTTATTATAATGTTTAACAGACAGATGGATTGAATTGAAACATTTCTTACTTACAAAATAAGTATTCTTGCAGGTTCTGTAGTGATAGCAGGCAATGCAAAATGCTTTGAGCTCTCCATCAGTGCTCTGGCAGAGAAATTGTTTGATGAGAGCAATGAGGTGCGCATGCAAGTTACTCTAGAAGTTGGCCACTGGATGCTTGCATATAGAGACAGATACTCTTTCTGGCATAGAATGCTACCTCTGATCCTTACTAGGTAACCCACAATTCTAATTTAGTTAACTTGTGTTGTATTTGTTATATTTGTTTTGGTTTTAAAATCCACACCACTCCACTTCGTACTCTGCCTGGAGCTGGAGAAAGAACAGGGGTTTTTAGTTAGTAAGAGTCTGACACTCCCTCTCGCCTCTCCCTGGGAGGGCGACATATTTTGAGGTCAATTGCTTTCTGACTCTTCACCTATTGAATAAAAAAAGAGAATCACACTGTGATTGTCGACAGAACAACACAACACACAACGATTAATTTCGTGCTCTTAGTATTTAACAAGTGAGGATGCCACATTCACAGATAAACCTCAATAAGAGGCTTAACCATAAAAATATGTATGATTATTAAAATGTACCTTGATTATGGTGAGCTCTTAGAACAATGTCTTTTGTGATGTTGTTTAGGAAGTTACTTTTTCTACGATTTTAAAATTTCCTTACAGCTTAAGTGACGTCATTGAAGACATAAGAACCACAGCCACCAGTTTGTGGAACGATATCGGACGTCAATACATGGAGGAGAATGAAGAAGAATTTAAGAAAAAGACTGATTTCCTGAAAGATGTTCCCAAACATTACCCTGATGTAACTAGACCTAATTTCGGATGTAGGGCTTTGGTACAAAGCAACATTGGGAAGATAGTTCCAGCTATCAATCGAGGTATTTGACGATCATATGTTTCTTTAGGTAGACAAACATGCCAGTGCCATTAGTGCATATAGTATTGTTATGCTACTGACAAAGAACCTATGCGTAGCAAAAATGCTATTTTGGGCGGAGATGTCATCATCATCACGCGTAGGCCTTTCCAATTGCTCACCACTGAGCTCGATGTTCAGCTCTCCTCATACAACCGCTACTAACCGCCCTATGTAGGTAGGTGTCATCATCAGTTCACCTACCTGGAGGACACCATACACTAAGTTTGCCTAGACACGGCCTCCGGCAACTGCCGCCAGCCATTTCTGTTTGCTAATTCTTTGGGTTTATTGACAAATTTAGTTCTCAGTCGGATCACCCCGAGTTCCCTTTCGGATCACCCCGAGTCGCTAGATCGCCAGACAAAGTGTTATCAATCAGAATTTCTAATCGAACACCACGTACAATTCATTCTAGTAGTAACTGCTCTAGATTGAGGAATCCCTTTTCTCGACGATAGCAACAAGTCACAAGCGAATAAAGATAATCTTTTTCAAAATGTAATAATATATAAGATTGTATTTACTTATAATATAAACAATAATTTTTTTCTTAAAAAAGAACATGAAATTTCCTTTTATCAGAAATGGACGGCTGGCAAGCAGATGCAAGACTTCGCGTATCGCAGTTATTGTGCTGGTTGATTTTATGCGCAGAAGAGGGCGCCACTCAGCACGCCAACGCTATCTTGAAGGCCATGCTGCGTGGTGCTACCGATGAAGATCCCAGGGTCATTTTGGAGGTGAGCAAAACTTTTATTTTGAACGTTGCCCTCACTTCCAAATTTGACCTTAGATACTTATGAATGTTTTAAACAGATTTGTCGTTCGATTTGATTATAAAACAGAAAACCCCATTTCTACCGCGCAGATAAAACGTGCTGCTGAATTATTCGGCTATTTCATAATCCCTACCACCTGGTGGCCACTGCTGGAAGCCGAGGTAGACTCCTGGGCCGCTCTCCTCGTCATCGCCAATATCATCAAAGGATCGCGTCCGGAACTGCTCCAGGAGAAGGTGTTGGTGGAACTGCCTAGGGAGGCTGCTGATCCTGATAGATGCAGGACTAGGAAGGTAAGAAGACTTTTTATGGACTTGATGGAAAGCAATCGATGATGCCAATAAATACTCAAACATTCGACGAGTTACAGGGTATTTATTGCCCATTTTTTTGGGTTTGAAAATGGGGTAGGATTCTGCCTTCGCACATGATTGTTTCAAGCCATGTGAAGACGGCAAACTAAAAAAGATCGGTGTCTCTGGTCACTAAATACTCTTTTTCCACGACTTATTGTTTGATACAGATCGCCACTCACCAGCAACGTTCTCTGATAAATCACTTTTCTAAACTGCTGCCTGCCAGGCACAGAGATTATGGCAAATTCCCCTGTTTTGTGGAGGCTCATGATCTACAAATAAACTCTGTCTCTGTTTGTAAATAATGACTATTTAAGAAATTAAGTATTTGTGTCGAAGATCTAAAAATATGGGTAAGCTATGCTTCGGCACGAATGGGCAGTTTAAGGCCATGTCCTCACAGAAAACCGGCTTGAAATAACGCAAGCGTATGTTCTGTGATTGACCATACCAGATCGTTTCCAAATCCACGTGTAACTCCTCGTTGTTTCGGGTTTCCGTGGAAGGTACCGATTGTTTATGAGGTTTATTGCGTTGATCCGTATGTTTGTGTGCCGATATACACCGGTTTTTACTTCCAGCCAAAATACCAAACGAATCTGCTGCATATGTGTGAGGCCTTATTGGACGTGTGCGGCGAGGCATGCACAGAAGTTGCCGACGATTTATTCACGATCAACTTCACGGTACTTGCCATGCCTTATGACGAACGTATACAATTTATGGCTATTGGTAAGTTTATATATTTTATTGTGAAATTAAATAATAGGTCTTTACTTATGAAATTGCCGTTCTGCAGTACTGGCCATTTCAAATCAAAATAGTTTTTGTTTGGCTAAGAATTCTAATTTCAAATTAATTTTCTTTTAAAAACATGGGATTCTTTTTCCAAAAGTAGTGAAACAATGAAACAATGAATTTATTTTTGCAAATAGGCCATAAAACGGCACTTTTACACGTCAATTTATATGTGAAAAACTAGATGAAGCCGGCATTTCCTATCTGACTACTCTGAGAAGAAATGCCGAAACAAACTCAGAGGTCAGTCTCTTTTCAAGTCCAGACAATGTAAAAATAACATAATGTGAGAGAATCGTGCAAGTTCATTCTGTAGTGGTCTTTTGAGGAAAGAACCACACCAGTTTAAGTGGACCCGTTCTGAAGACAGGCACGCAAGTGTCAGTTTGCAACCAGTATAGCTAGTGCTGCTGAGTTGTCCGACGAACAATATCGATCTAAAGAACATTTGGGTGGGTCGCGCAAGTACTCAAACTGTCAGAACGCAGATAACTGGTAATCAAAAAGCACGGCAAGTCTCACACGGTCCTTACACTAACAATAATATAAAATAATAAAAATGTCAGTAAATAAATAAAAAAAAAATGTCAAATAAAAAATAAAATGTCACAATAGGTGATTATGTCATTGTATAAAAAATAAACGTAATGTCAAATTGTATATAAAAGTGTAACTTATGTTACAAACATGTCAACATGACCTGTGCAGACATTACAGCGGCTCATTCCCATGCCTGACTATCCTCTAAGTAGTCTTTTATTTTATAAAATGCTTTACAGCAAAGTTTAGCCTTTATTACACTTTTAAATTTATTGAGGCTCGAATTTTGAATATCGCTAGGAATTTTATTGTAAAAGCGTATACATTGACATCTAAACGAACTAGTTATTTTCTGAAGCCTGGAGGCAGGGACAACATATTTGTTTTTCCCCCTCGTGTTAATATTATGTATATCACTATGCTTCTTAAATAAGCTTTTGTTTTTATGAGCGTGAATTACATTTTCATAAATATATTGTGAGGCAACCGTCATTATCTTAGTTTCCTTAAATAATTCTCTGAGCGAATGCCTCGGACTAAGATTATAGATTGATCGAATAGCCCTTTTCTGCAGAACAAAAATAGACTGAATGTCAGCAGCATTCCCCCACAACAAAATACCGTATGACATGATGCTGTGGAAATAACTAAAATAAACTAACCGCGCTGTATCTACATCTGTTAAATTTCTAATTTTTTTAACGGCATATGCTGCAGAACTGAGCTTCTTCGACAAGCCATCTATATGAGGGCCCCACTGGAGCTTAGCGTCCAGGGTTATACCTAAAAAGACAGTTGTATCCACAGGACTCAACTCCTCGCCCTTGACAAGCACACTGGTTTTTACCTGTTTAACATTTGGTGTTGTGAATTTAATACATTTAGTTTTAGTTTCGTTAAGTAATAAGTTATTAACACCAAACCAGTGAACTATTTCTGAGAGAGCACTGTTTACATTGTCAATAACTAATTGTCGTCGTCTGAGTTTGAATAATAGTGAGGTATCATCAGCAAACAGCACTATCTCGTGTTTATCCCTTACAAGGTAAGGCAAGTCATTAATATAGATAAGAAATAAAAACGGGCCGAGAATAGAACCCTGCGGAACACCCATCTTCACAACAGACCCGGCAGAAACCACTCCGTTTACTTCAACTCTCTGAACCCTATTACTCAGGTATGAGGTAAGAAGGTCCAGAGATGCACCTCTTATTCCGTAATGGGATAGCTTCCTGATCAGTGTATCATGAAGCACACAATCGAACGCCTTGGATAAATCACAAAATATTCCCAAAGCGTCGCTTGAGTCCTCCCACGCGTCGTAAATGTGATTAAGAAGTTCAACACCGGCATCAGTTGTTGAACGACCCCTTGTAAATCCGAACTGTTTCGCATGTAATAATTTATTTCTATTAAAAAATCTTTGCATTTGATCTAAAATAATTTTTTCAAAAATTTTACTGAACGTAGGTAGCACTGAGATAGGTCTAAAGTTAGTGGGGTCAGAAGTACTACCTGATTTAAATAATGGAATTATTTTACTACATTTCATAAGATCAGGAAACACACCACAGTCAATACAGTTATTAAAGATTTGAGCTAATACAGGTGCTACAATAGTTATTACAGAGCTTGTAATATACACAGAATTGCCCCATAGATCTGCAGTCTTTTTGTTATTCAAAGTATTAAAGATTTTAACAATTTCCTTGTTATCTATGTGCTCGAAGGAAAACCCTGAATCGCAAGCTACAACATGTTTTTTGAGTAAAGACTCTGCAACAGTGGGAGATGAATTCAGTGACTTAGTAGTGGATACAGGAATGTCGGAAAAGAAATTTTCAAAAGCAGTTTTTTAACTTATTATCAGTCATTTGTTTATTGATTAGTGTTACATTTTGATCGCATTTCAATCTGTTCGCCATCATGGATACGTTAAAAATTCGAGTAATTATGGAATATGAGCTCCGTCGTGGCAGCAACTGGCACAAGCGGCACGCAATATCAACGACGTTTACGGAGCTAACACTACAAACCAACGCACCACCTGTTATTGGTATGCTCGCTTCCGTTCTTCGAATCCGTTCTGGGAATTTCGACTTGAAAAATGAACATCGCGGTCGTCCTAAGACTTTGGTTGACAATGACGAATTAAAGGCATTGTGGAAGCTGATGATACACAATCTACGGCTGAATTAGCAGCAGCTTTCGACGTTAGCGTCAAAACAATATTGGTCCATTTGCGTCAAATTGGCAAGGTAAAAAACTTGACAAATGGGTGCCCCACGAACTCAATGATCGCCAGCGCGAAGTACGCGTCGAGACGTGCCTTGCACTGCTCAACAGACACACAAATGAAGGAATTTTAAACCGCATTGTTACCTGCGATGAAAAATGGATTCTGTTTGATAACTGCAAGCTCTCAGCAAGGTGGTTGGATCCTGGTTCAGCACCTAAGCAATGCCCTAAACGAAAACTTACCCCTAAAAAAGTGATGGTCACTGTTTGGTGGTCTAGCGCCGGTGTGATTCATCACAGCTTCTTGCCGAATGGGATGAGCATTACTGCAGATGTATACTGTGAAGAATTGAACACAATGATGGAGAAGCTGGCACATTTCCAAGCTAGTAAGCTTTAAGCTCACCTGGTAGTAAGCAATCAGCGTCTCCGTGGAAACCTGCATTTTTTTTAAATCATATGAGTAATAGTTTGTATAGTAGCAATAGTTTGCTTGAATGCAATCCGACCTGATGGTAAGAAGTGATGTACAATAACAATTGCATTGCCGACCTTTTTGGAGGGTAGAAGGAGTGATTAAGTCTCCTCTCTGACACGGCGACAAAAAGCAAGCGTTTTTTGAGACCAATTTCCTGTGTATAAACATAAAACAATGGTATAATATAAGAAAAAAAAAACAAAAAAGAATTTTAATAACAATTTTCCAGCGAATCTGGACAAGCTCCGTTACGCGGAGAAGTGCGGTTCGACCTTGATCAGCTTGTATGACAAGCATCTCGGTAAGATGCTGGCTTCCATCACCAGCGACGCGCTGACATGGACACAGCTGTCACCAGACAAGTGCCTGCTTGAATGTGCCATGCTGAATGCAGGTAATTACTAACAATTCTTTCGATGATATTAAGATGTTTTTTTTTATGTGATAGGACCGCATACGAGAAATGGATTACCTGATAGTAAGCGATCAGTGCCGACCATGGACAACATCGGAGGAGTTACCAGTGCGTTACCGACCTTTGGGTATTAGGGATTTGTGATTTGGAGGGATTGGGGGAGGGCAAGGATTGGGCCTCCGGCAAGGCCACTCATAAGGCGAAACGCTGTGATTTATAGGTTGGAGATGGGAGGGGAATAAAAGGGATTCGGCCTTCAGTAACGAGGTGTCATCAATATGGACATACCATCATCACTTCAACAGGCTCTGAGAGTTCTCGTCTGGGCTATGTATGAGCCTCCTCTACAAATGAGAGATCTGACATAATCTCCGCGTTTGGCAGTCGGGAGATCGGTAATGGACAATACACATACCAAATTTTTAAATATCCACCTTCTCTCTAGGATCTGCAATGGGTGCCCAGCTGCATCTCATAGCGCCCCTCCTGAAGGAATGCCTTGCGACTCCCAAGGTAGACCCGGAGGTGAAGCTGAAGATCTTTACCACGCTGTCAACGGTACTGCTGCGAAGAGACACCAACTTCAGTCGGTGTGATAATGATAAACTGGAGGCGTTCCTCAAGATAGTTATTGAAGGTAATTTATACTTTATTTCTTCTATTATTTTTTAAGAGATAGTTAGCAATCAAAGGTGCTTATGGATAACCTGACACCAAGGGGGTTTAAAAACAAGTGTGATTTTGGGAGAAGGTGAGGAACATTGGTTTCGGTTGCTAAAAATGTTTTGTTGATTCCTCTACAAATGTTCTGTCACCATAATAGGCCCACGCTGCATGGTACCTACAAAGTATACATGCATAGGGAATTTATATTTTACAAGATGAAGCTAAAAGTAGCTGTTTACTCGCTCTGTTCTCTTCGCCCCTTTAAATATCTTTAGGAAACTCTTTTTAATTAATTTTGAATTTCGAAAATAATAGACTTCAAAAATATTATAAAACTCTTCACAGACCCCAATAGGAATTGACCCATCGCGATAGTTTATTTTTTTTAAACAATTTTTTATCTTATTAATATGGTTTTTAAACGTTCCTCCCCATTAGGATTTTTCCTGTGTTGTAAGTGCGTTTACAAACGTACAATGCATACAAATTCACATACCCAAAACACCCAGATCCTAAACAACAATTTGTGGATCACACAAAGAGGTATTCTGTGCGGGAACCCGCGATAGGTACGTATTGCACAGAAGCCAGTTACTCAGCCGTCACGCCAACCGTGCAGTCGTATTATTATGTGCACAATAAGGTGTATCTTGTGCCTGATAAGCCAAAGTAAATAAGTAAATGAATTTTAATTTCCTCCACAGAAGTAATAATGCCGAACTTGGTATGGAGCGCGGGACGAACTGCAGAAGCAATCCGTACCGCCGCCGTCGCCTGCCTGTGCTCTGCCTTGCAGGAAAACCCTTACAACGAAACACCATTGACCGAGGAGAAAGGAGGCGATGGAGACAAGGACGAGAAGGTAATGTTTAACCACAAAGAGTTTGGAATTCTACTCGACGAAAACCTGAAACCTTTTAAACTTTATTATTGAATTACAAAAAGCTGAGCTGATTAAAACAATGTATATTATGCAATCTTCATTACTTACAATTTTCAGATGATATTTATTGCTGAAAATATAAGGAATACCTTACTTGTACTTGAATAATGTAACTTAGGTATGTGAAGACGTTACGGGCCACTTTATTTTCACTTATTGACAAGAACTGCATAATATGCTACTCTGCAGGTTGTAAACCTATTTCCAAGCAAAGAGTCTTTGGAACCTTTCTTGGAGAAGATGGTGCCTCTACTGGTTGGGCTGGCTGACGACAACTCGACGCTGACGCGACAGCACACGTTGCGCGCAGTCTGCTGCCTCGCGGTGTTGGCCAGGCAACGCGACTGTTTCAGCGGAGATACCTTACATAAATTGTACTATGGTAAGTAGCCTAAGCGCGATCGTATAGTAGATACGGAGTGTCAGACTCTTACTGACTAAAAACATAAACCACTCGCCTGAGTTATAGATACTTATAATAGGATTATTTTAATTGGCTGTCATTCTATTGCAATACTTAAATATAAAAAGGGCTCACACTGATTACCTATAGGTATTAAAAACAATCTAGTTAGTTTTTTTTAATAATCGTAATACCTTTTATCAATCAGTTGTACTCAAACGCCTGGACGACAGCAGCGACAAAGTTCGTTCGTTCGCCGTTCAAACGGTAGTGACGTTGTTCATGAACCGCCCGCAACCGTACGACGTGACCTTGTACGGCGCGCACATCGACGCGCTCTACAGCGCTATGCTCATACACCTCGATGACTCCGATGAAGATTTCAGGAAACAGATGCTCGGTGAGTTCAAGACTTGATATTTTTCTATGGATTTTTTGTGAGATAGAAAGACAACGTCATTATATTTTTACGTCTAATAGCTTACTAATTTCTTTAAAAATAGTGCATGCCTATGTCAGAAAAAGTAAGCAGAAAATGCAGTAAGTCTAGGTGTAATGTGTATGGCTATTCGCCATATTGTTATACATTATTGTAATCGTGCCCACGGCACAGAATACAGTTAATGTTTTAAAATACGCTCGACGGTGGTACTCGACTAGTTTCACAAGTGACACCAGGAGCCCATAATTGTAAAAAGAACTCGCGATAACCGAATATGACACAATAATTCTCGTATGTAAAACTACGATGCGTTTTCCTGAAATGATGCAACACAATGTGCTCTTAATATATCAGAAATAATAATGTATTTGAATCATAATTGTATGCTGTAGCTATCTTGATATGTTGTGGTTAAAACTTAATATTTGTTTAACTGTATCTACATTTAAGTATAACAACTACTGATGGTTCAACTAAATATAAATAAATGTTGGTTTTTACAATTATTTATTTCAGAGGCACTGATCAAACTGAGCGACATAGACCCCAAGACTCTTATGAAGAAGGTCAAGGCAAACATACATCTATACAGGAACAAATCTGCCTATGAAAAGCTGTCTAGTCATATTGAAAAGATGTTGTAATGTTATGAAGTTAACACAATTTGTTCGATATTGAATTCTTTTTTCGGACTTTGTAGTCTTAGCAAAATGTTAACTTTATTAATAAAAAACTTATTTACCTTTAACTTTAATTTAGCTTATTAGTTAATGATGAGTATTTTAGTGGTTAATTATGAGAAGGAGAAAACTGTTTGTTTAAGTTTACGTGCAATAAAGGCATTAATGAACATGTGTGGTTTTATTTACTTGTTGAAAAAAAAGTTTAAGTTTAAGAGAAAAGTAGTGAGATAGATTTGCCCTGATTTTTTTTTTAGTCACTTTACATAATTACGTAATAATTATTATCATTGATTCTAATACCTTTTATACGAGATCATTCATGTTTATTTTGTATTGATCATAAACAATCCATGCATACCATGTAAAGTAACAAGTATCCGGGAAAAACCTGCTATTCAGAACAGAATCAGCCAAGGAGAAGATTAGATTAGAGGAAGTGTTACTTTTTGCTACTAACTTTTCTACAAATTTTGTTATCCGTAAATAACTTGCCATTTTTAAATCCTATTTTGAAGCTCCTTTCAATTAGTCCTATTTCGATCATCATTATCTTCCTGTCCTTGTCCGGTTTTACTTGGGGTCGGCGCAATATGTTTTTTCTTCCATTCTGTCCTGTCACTCGTCACGCTATCGCTAACTCCTCTGTCTTCCATATCACTTCTCACACAATCCATCCATATTTTCTTTGGTCTCCCCCTCCCTCTCCATCCATCCACATTTATACTCATGACTTTTTTTGTTACATGCTTTTCATCCCTCCTTTTCACATGGCCATACCAAGACAAACGGTTCCCTTTCAACTTTTCAGTCACTGGCGCCACTTTCAAACTTCCTCTAATATACTCATTTCTCACTTTATCCATTCTCGTCACACCACACATCCATCTCAGCATTCTCATCTCTGCTACATGCAATCGCTTTTCATCCGTCTTTTTCAGAGCCCAACATTCTGACCCATACAGTAGGACAGACCTTATCACTGACTTGTAGATTTTACCCTTCAACCTGAGGGGCATCCGTGGGTCGCAAGTTGTTCCAGTGACCTGTCGCCATTTCATCCATCCTGAGTTGATCCGATGTGCCACGTCTCGGTCTATCTCACCATTTCCTTGGATAAGCGAGCCAAGGTACCGAAAATCAGAACAGGTTGGTATGGGCGTTCCGGCGAGAGCTATGGGCACAGAACTAGAGAGACCGCCAAAATCGCAGAACAAGTACTCGTTCTGCTCAATTTTAGGCCAACACTCTCCAGTCTATGCCACCACATTAGTCCTATTTCGATATTAGTGAAAAATATTAAAACAAGTTAGTTTTTTTTTTGTTATGTAATAAGTCGGCAAACTGATGGTAAGTAATGAGCGCCACCCATGGACAGACATAACGGAGGAGTTACGAGTGCGTTGCCGACCTTTTAGGGATTAGCGTTTTGGACATTAAGGGATTGGGGAGGGAGGGGGGCGAAGGAAAAGATTGGGCCTTCGGTAACCTCACTCACAGGGCGAAACACAACGCTGTGGTTGTTTCTCGCCGATTTTCCGTAAGGCTGTGGTATCACTCCGGTCGAGACGTATCATTCGTGCCGAAGCTTGGCTCTCACATACATACTTAAAGGTTCTTTTTTATATTGTTATTGCCACATTTTAAGAAGTGTAGCTCAAATCGAGCCTCTTCTGCTGTTTCCACAACGATATGTCCACCAAATTAATAAATGAAATTCACTTTGAAAGCCAAAAGACTAGAATGCAAGTTTACTAAAATCAATACTTGACATAGTTGACGTTTTGAATTTCAGTTTGACACTTACTTGACATGCGCATGGGAACCAAACTGTTTTATCCTCTTCTGTTTGTTCGTTTTATTTGATAAATAAACAATTTTCATTTACAAATCTCTTTCTAAATGTTATTGTATTAATCTATTGATTTAATTATATGTAAATATAATGGAGGTAGTTCGTAAAAGTGAGTAATTTATCTTATAAGTAAATGAAAAGGTAAGCGCGGCAAACACTCATTGATTTTTATTATTTTTACAGATTTTAAGGAAACATTACCCTTGGTAAAGGAGTCTATAGATAAAGCTGACTTTTTGGCGATAGATACGGAGTTTACAGGGCTTATGAATGGTCGTGATGTGACCATTTTCGATTCTCCGGAGGATTATTACATTCGATTGATGAATGGCTCCAGTGAATTTCTTTTGATACAATTTGGGATGAGTTGCTTTTATTGGGACGAGAAGAGGAACCACTATTTAAATGACACGTACAACTTCTACCTGTACCCGCGAGGCCGGCCAGGGCCCGATAGATTGTTCCTCTGCCAGAGCTCTAGCTTAGATTTCCTGGCGTCAAATGGTTTTGACTTCAATAAACTTATAAGAGAAGGTAATATACGTTTTCTTTATTAGTCACACAAAATATAGTTATTTAATAATATTAGTTATAAATCTAGTTAGAATCTAATGTAAACAAAACATATTTCTTGTTGGTGTCTGTAAGTAAAAAAAAAAATGTAATTATCAAATCAGGTAAATCTGAAAAGGTTATAGTATAAAAATAACCATGAAGCAGTTTCTCAAATCATAAATGATTCTTACATATTTTTTAAAAATAATGATAATATGAGGGTACCCTAACATTTATCACATTCTGTTTTGACTACTATCTGACAAGAACTGTGTTTGTAGAAGAATCTAATAGGAATTGAATATTGATACTTTACAAGCTTTGCAAAATTCTAAGACTCTAGTAGATGAAAGAAATAGATTTGACTAAGCAACATGGGAAAGTGTTTAAATCTATCTAAATGAATTATAAACTTCATAAAAAAGGCACTTCTTTTTATTTCTATTGAGATAATCTAATTGGATTACAGAGTGACATTATATTACAACTCTTTTGCTGCATTCACATTTACCATCTCTATGTACAGACCTGACGATTCAGGCTTCTCTAAAATATATTATTTTAATCCAGGTATTTCATACATGACTTCTACAACGGAGACTAAGCTAAGAGAAAATCTGGCCGAAAGGCAACTCTCATATTCCAAAGAGAAGGAGGCAGTTAGGATACCAGATGAGAACAGACAACAAATTGAGGATATATGGTAAGATGTCTACGAAAACTGTTTAACTATCCATTATTAGAGCAGAATGCAGAGAAAAAAAACACTATAACTGTGCTAACATTGCCAACTGCTGAGCAAAGAATCTCTTCTCACATCAAGACTGTATGTTTATAATCACAAAACTTGCTCTTGGCAGATTGGAATTTTTGAAATGAATGTATGTATTCTTTCATGCAAAACAATTGAATCAATTTGTTTGAAATCTGCTATGTAGATAGGTGATACCTTGTATTAACACATAGGCTGCTTTTTATCAACATACCAAGCGGCTGCCCGCTAGTCATGAATATAACTTATTATAAAAAAACTATTATATTTTATAATAAAACATTTTTTTTCCGCAGTACTAAAGTAAAGCATTTCATTGAGAAATCAACGGATGCTGAAATGGAGATAAACAGGTGCAACTCGTTCATAAGGATGCTGCTCTTCCAAGAGCTAAAACTTAGGTTTAAAGACGAAATTATTGTTGACACGAAGGTCTTGGAGAATAAAAATAGGTAAATAATAATATATTATTATTTTATTTATCACATGTATACATACTGCTGGGGTAGCCAGTGCAAGCGCAGTAATTAACCGTGGCTATGGCCCGCGACACAAGTACGCATCGGGTAGATTTTGTCAGTAAAAAGTGCGACACTACCTCTTGCCCCACCTAAGCAGGAGAAGACATTTGATGATTTACTGCCACTCAAAAAGTCCTCTACATACTTAATGTTATGTATATATGTTATGAAACAATGAATTTATTTTTGCAAATAGGCCATAAAACGGCACTTTTACACGTCAATTTATATGTGAAAACTAGATGAAGCCGGCATTATGTTAAGCAGTTATGAACTTATGATTGATAAATATATACTAGAATTTTAAGACAATAATTTCTCAAAAACCTTCATTACATTAACTTTACTGAGAAACAAAAGATATAGATAAGTAGGTAAGTATAGTATTATTAATTACAACTTATAAAAACTGTTTTACTGTTCATCATCATAAACCCATTTGAAGTATTCTCCCAATATATCATGATCCTTGAATTAACATATCTTTTGAAATGATAAAAAATAATGTCCAAAACTAATCTAGGATTTTTTATGTAGAAGAATATTTTTTTTAATACTAGCTTTTTCCCGCGACTCCGTTCGCGTGGAATAGCGACTTCCTGCAGATTTTTGGAATAAAAACTATCCTATGTCCTTTCGCGAGTTCCAAACTATGTCTGTACCAAATTTCACAGAAATCGGTTCTGTAGTTTAGCCTAGAAGGAAAAATATACAGACAGACAAAGTTACTTTCGCATTTATAATATTAGTTAAGATTTAAAATCTCCTCTTGTGTGCTTTTACAAGTGTTAAAGAACTTTATCAACTTTTAATTTCAGGATATTAAAAGTGATACGTAAAACGGCAGATATGGATGACCAAGACACTTTACGGAAAAAGAAAGAATGGGATGAGCTGGAGGAAGCCGTCGGCTTCTCTAAAGTTGCACAAATGATTAGTCAGTCGGTGAGTCTTGTGTTTGGAGTCTTTCTTTGTGTTACAAAGATTTTTAATCTAACATTTTCATCAATAACTTATCTAATACTTAATAGTAGCTACTTGTAATTGCACCTAGGTACTAAATTCCCTATTATGTATAAATTTTAATATGTTATTGTATAAAGAGCGCCTCTCGCCATCAAACGTTAAAGTTTGGCGAGTTTAGATGATAAGGACACTTTTCTGTAACTTTACTGAATAAATTATTTAAATTAAAAAATTAATTAATGGTAGAGTAAAGTATTCACTGAATTTGCTACTCCATTGATATTTGTCATAATTA